AAAGGCTCACTAGGTGCTAGAGAGCTCTGAAAATAGGTGAAAATGCAAATGAATGTAAAGATATTGGATATAAAGCGAGGCTAGACTAAGAAAATAAACCCAGTGATTGCTATATAAATGTCGTTTGGAAACCTGGCCGAGTTCATGAGCGATTCTGTAATGTATGTTACAATATTGGCATTAGCTGTGAGGCTGTTAACCAATTTCTTTCAGCCAGGGTTTACTGGACGTCTATGCTTGCTTCTTAATGATACTAATAGTAATAGTATACCTGTCGTCACCATTGACATTAGAGTCTTCAATGTTAAGGTCCACTATTAAGTCATTAATCATGCTGGGTTCATACTCGATATTAAACGCGTAACAATCAGTTCTCATAGCTATGCTCTTGATGAGGCCAGGCTTTAGTTTATTGATAGCTGGCATCAATCTCTCAACTGCGGCTTCTAGCGAAGGGAAAAAAGAGAGAGATGAGGTGTGACAAAGTTATGAGGTGTGACAAAGTTGCTCATTTATAAATTCCTTAATGGTAAGATGAAAGAGAGTGTAGTGAATGGAGAAACAATTTTTTTGAGAAAAAGTGGGCGCTGCTCCAGCACTCCTTTTTATACCAAAAAGGCGCAGGCCAAAAAAGTGAGAGTAGAGCAAATCCGCACTGCTGAGCTTGTCCTCATGCTTCCAGGCTTTTTCAAAAGTCACAACTGTCGTCATTTTTTGTAGAAAAGGATTGAGTGAAGCTGGAGTAGCCCAGCCAATAAATGTTGCACATGGGCAGCCAAGAGAATGGCAATGAAAGGCATCTTCACTTGCTTTTGACGCTTTGGCATGCCATCAAAGGAAATTGGGGATGGGGATGCTAAAGTCTCCTTCCCAAAGGAATCTCTTGGAGCAATAATGCACGCCAAAAATGTCATGTGATGCACCTAATAAGATATGGTATAGCAGTTACATAGAATAAGTCTGTGACTTAGCTCAAAAAAGCATGCTTTTGTGTTTCGGGGGGTTGGCGCAATGGTAGCGCGTACGCCTCCAGAGCGTAAGGTTGTTGGTTCGATCCCTGCACTCCCCAGAAACATTGGTGTAGCTTCTCTTTTTGCTGGATCCGAATCTTTGGAGTACAGCTTGTACTCAACAAAACATGTCATGTATGACGCCACTTCTTTTTTGTTCGCCTCCAGAGCGAATGGTTGTTGGTTCGATCCTTGTACTCCTCATTTAATTATACGTAGCCTCTCTTTTTTGCTGGATTCTGAATCTTTTTGGAGTATCTCTTGACAAAGCTGTACTCAAAGTGATAGGTCGGAAATAAGGTCGGCTGTGTTTGACACTTCTTCTATACGCATCGTGCGCAACAGCAGCTCCATGCTGTCAGTGCGCCAAATCAGCTCCAGGCCCTTGAGCATGGCCCACAGGCGGTTGAGTGCCGTGACATTTTTGGACAACTCGGCATAGGCCTTGTGGAGTCCCTCTCTGCTGTGTTTCTCCCGCCTAGTCTCTATATCCTTGCGACAGCGGCGGATCTGGCGAATAAGCACCGTCATCGAGGTAAACAGGCAAAACGGCATGACTTGGTCACAGCGGCCCAGCGGAATATCGCTATTCCGATCTATAAACGCGATAATGTCGTGTACGGCTTCTAGGCAAATGTTCCACGACTCCTCCACAATGTCGTACGCCAAAATGCCGTCGTTGAGCAAGTCGGAAAACGCCGAGGACAGCATCTCGCGAATGGCGCTATTCTCGATAGAGTCGGTAGCAGCCAACGACGATATCGAGCTGGACAGCGTAGTTGTGTCTTGACCAAAAAACGACGGGCGATTGGCAAAGTGCAAAATGTGCACCAGAGGCACAGAGTACGCGTACAGGCAAAAGTAGCGGATGCG